TGCCAATAATGTTGCTTTCTAAAAGTCCTGTTACAGTCCTTACCTCTGAAAGTTTCAGAATCTTGATGTGAGAGATCAGATTATTAGAGGGTTCTCTTAAGGAAGCTCTGGTGGGCTAGTGGTTTAAGGAAATGCAACATCAACACAAAGGTGTGTGGTTTGAATCTGCTCCATGGGAGAAAGAGGAACAATTCAGTGCTTAACTGCTTTCTGAAAACCTGCTGATGAGTCATCTATTGGATTCCACATGGACAGTGTACATCAAACAACAGTAGAATAATACACTTTTAAATCTATTTGATTGGTTATTGTCTTTAGAACCCTATTATTTACTTGTTGTTGTTAAGTGCCTTTGAATTTGTTCTAACTGGTAGCAACTCCATGTACAACAGAATAAAACACTCCTAGTTCCTGGGCTACCTTAACGGTCACTACTGTGCTTGAGCCCTCTGTTTTAGCCACTGTGCCATTCCATCTTGTTGAGGGTCTTCCTCTTTTGGCCAAGCCTCTGTCTGGCTCAGGTCACAATAGTAAAGCAAGAGATTTGGTTGCGATGAAGTGCATACATTGTGCTTGTTTAACATAGCAGTTACTGAACCAGCTTGATGTGGGTAGTAACTCTTTTTTAAAAATTTTTGTTTTGTACTGGTTTGCTTACAAAATTCATATACATTGTGTTTCACACTATCCTTCATACACATTGTGTTTCATACAATTATTTTTACTCATTATGTGTTATAAAATTAATCATTATTTAACTCTGCCCAACATTATGCTGTCCAGATCCTCCCAGATCTTTCCTGTTTCTTTTACCACCTCTAAATTATGGGAGCCTACAATTTCTGGTCCCCCTACCTCCTACCAGCCCTCACCCCTCTGATCTTCCTCTCCCCACTTGGATCCTCATACATGTTTTACTAGTTTCCCTTCTGTTTCTATAATAATGATCTTATGCAGCATTTGTCCTTATAATACTAAATAGTTTACCCAACATAATGCTCTCCAGTCCCTCCCGAGTTATGTAGTAATTTTTGAAATCCTTGCTCCTGAGTGCTGTGTAGTATTCCATATGTAAATGTACCACAGTTTCTCAGTCTGTTCAGTTGTGGTTGGACATTTGGGATCTTTCCATGTTCTTGTGATGGTGAGTAATGCTGCTATGAACATTGGTGTATGAATCTCCATTTGTGTCTCAGTTCAAATTTCCTTGGGGTGTATCCCTAGGAGTAGAATAGCTGGACCATATGAAATCTCTGTGTTCAGCTTTTTGAAGAAATACCAAACTGCCTTTCAGAGTGGTTGCACTACTTTTACAATTTTACCAAACCAAGACCCACAGGTGGAGGCCTGCTAAAGGGTGTATCTTCAAAATTCTCTAGGGCCCGAGAACCACAGGCCCTTGGGCCAAATGTATTAATTTTTTAATGAACATTCTTTAAGTGGTAAAGCAGTTGTATGTCTATTTGCTGTACTGAATAACTTGGAAATACTGTGATACTGAACACTATGCCATAGTTGTGTCAAATGCTATAATTGTTATTTATCGTGGACAGTGTTTGGAGGATCTTCCAAATTGATTTAGGTTTGGAATCGAGAGTGGCATCCACTTCCTAAACCAGTTGTCTCTGGAAACTATAAACTCTATAAACATACAGAAATGATGTTAATTATAGAACAGAGTTCAGGTATTTTGTTCATATGGTCATTATGAGTAGTATTTGACTTGATGACACTTAACCACTGCTCAGTGAGACTGTTGTTGTTGTTAAGTGCCATTGAGTTGTAGGTGACTCATAGCGACCTATGAACGAAAGTCCTCGACACTTGCTTGCATGACTTTCATTCTTTTTCCAGGTTCATAGGGTTTCCGGAGGCAAGCTATTAATGGAAGCGGATGCCACTCCTGCTTCCAAGCTTGTTTTAACCGGAGAGACACTGTCCACCATGGGTAACCATTATCTCATTTGACACATCAGTGTCATAGTGTTTAGCTTCATAGTGACCACAGGTTACCTCTGTATGGCAAGTGGACACACCAGGGCTATACGACCTAGAAGAATGTTTGACCAACAGCAATCAGGCCTTAGGGCTGCGGATTAGAGTCACCACCTTTGGCTTAGTAGCATCAGTTTTGGTCCACTAGGCCAACTGGTCTCTCTCTGGGTTGTTAAGTGCCGTCAAGTCGTAGGCGACTCATAGCGACCCTATGAACAGAAGTACTCTACACTTGCATGCATGACTTTCATCCTTTCTCCAGGTTCATAGGGTTTAAGGAGGCAAGCTGTTTACAGAAGTGAGACTAGTATTGTCATATTTAGAGAACATTCTTCTGCTTTGTACATCACTTTTTGTCACAATTTACTATACTGAGGTCATCTGGGTTTGCTGTGATGCAGAATCTTGTGCCATTGGCGTATCAAATACCATGATGGTTTCCCAGTTGTAAAACAGGTTTGGAAGCAAAACTTGCATTTACTTCCTAAAGTACATGGAAACTCTGTGGAGAAATGATGATCGTTATGGAAAGGCATTAGGTCTTTTGTTTATAGAGTCGTTATGAGTTGTACTCCATGGCAATTAACAACAACAACCAATCAATGCATGAGAGTTCTTATTTCTCCATGCCTTCTCCATGTCTGCATCAGGAGAGACTATGTAATAAAGGGGTTTAAGAGCATATTTTTTAGAGTAGGATTTACTTCTTGGGTTTAGGTCTGGTTTGGCCATTACATTTGCTAAGTAACATTGAAGATCGGTTCTCTCAGATGCTAAATGATGATGATAATAACTTTGGTGAGAATTGAATAAGCTAAAGAATATTAAGCTTTTGCAAAATTATCTGACACCAAGATCCCAAATATTAACTTATTATCTGCTCTTGAGCCGCTTGAGACTCATAGCAACCTTGTGCACAATAGCTCTGAACTCTGTCCTATCCTGAGCCAGTGCCACTGTCTTCAACACACCTAGCACCATTACCCTAGTTACCATGTCAGTCCATCTCGTCCAGGGTCCTCCTCTTTTGTACTGTCCTTCCACCCTCCCTAGCATGTTGTTCTTCTCCATGAACTCGTCTTTCATGGCAACATGCCCAAAGTATGGGAGAGAGGCCTTCAAAATCCTTGCCTCCAAGGAATAACCTGATTTCACTCTCTCCAGGACAAACCTGTTTGTTCTCTTATCCATCCATGGAATGTTCAGCACTCTTCTGCAGCACCAAAACTTAAAGACATCAGTCATTCTTCTGTCATTCTTAATAATTGTACTGGTTTTACGTTACTGTGTAATAAAGCACTACAAAACTTGGTGACTTAAAACAATGACAATATTGTTTGCTAATGATTCTGTGCATTAATGTTTTGAGCTCTGCTCTGCTAAATCCTTCTAATGCTGGTCTTGTACCTGAGATTACTCCTGTAGCTGTGATTCACCTGGTAGGGTTAGTGGGGCTGGATAGTTTAAGCTCATCACACTCATCTGTGAATTGGTGCTGTCATTTGAAGTTCTGTCTTGCACATGACACCTCCAGCCAGCTAGCTTGGACCTCTTCATATGACACTGAAAATGGTAAGAGAATGAGGACTGAAGCTACAAGGTCTTACGCTTGGAGGCTTCCAGGACTCCCCACATTAGATGATTTGCCAGGAGGATTTACAGGACTTGGCATATGTGTGTGTATGTCTGTGTGTGTGTACATACTCCTAGCTCAGATTAATTAAGGAGAAGGAGACAAAGCAAAATCAGTGAAGGAAAATGTCATCTGGGGAGAAGTAGAGAGACCAACCAGGTACAAGCTTCCTGTGGTCCTCTCTCCAGGGAGTCATAGAGGATATGTTTGGTTCCCTCAGCAATACGTTGTGACAGTGTGAGTGACATGTTACTAACCAAAGCAGTTTGTGAGAGACTCAGAGCCTAGATTTTTGAAGTCCTGCTTTGTTTTTAAATCGCTGGATGAATACCTAGGCAGCATCTGACAAAATTCCAGACTTCTAGAAGGAAGCAGATGTTTAAAATAAATGATACGGATACTATTTGTGCAGTGTAGTTACTGTTATTATGTGCCATGGACTCACTGCTCACTCTCTAGGGAGTTTCCAGAGACTGTAAATCACACCAGAGGAGATTGTGATGGCTGACCTTTTTCCCATATTGCTGCTAATGGATTCAAATTGTCCGAGAGGCATGACTCTGTGATAGCTGGTGGATTCAAACCTTGTGGGTTTGGGTTGACAGTACAACTTGTTACCTACTAGGCCACCAGGGACCCCTAGTTTAGCTGTAGTGAATTACTTTATCAATTAATGGTAGTGGGAACTCTCCTGATATCTAAGTTCCCCAAAAGCCAATAGCCAACCTTGTAAGCTGGTGTTTCATAGGATAGTGGTTAAGCCTATTGGTAATTCTTTTCTGTACTTTTTAGTTGGAAGATTGGATTATAAAAGCCTTGCCTCAGGACTTCTATAATGTGTTTGCCTTCACATTCGTTTGGTCATCATGTCGTCTGAGGTTGATGCAGATTTAAATAAGCAGAAAAGTAAGACTACTTTTCTTGAGGGAAAGCTAGGAGCATATAGGTATTGTAAGAATTTAGCGCTTTCTCTTTTTTATTGCAGTTTGCTACATATATCACCATCTATTGAAAACATTTTAAAAACCAGCTTTAACTTTTAAAAACTGCTTTAATTTGCCTGCAATTATGTAATTATACATTTGTTGAATTTGCATATGTTTTACATAGATTTTTCACATGAAAAGTTGGATTCTGTTATTTCAGAAGTTTTGACTTCAGAAAATTAAATGAGAGAAAAATACGGTTAAGCAGGAATTGTATTAACTCTTGTTTTCCTAAGTTTAATTAAGGGCAATATTGGTCAATATGAAATGACCTCTTGTCTACTGTTTATTTTTTTCTTCTGACCCTGTCTGTTCACACATGTTAGATAGTAGCTTTCAATTAAAAGATGACCATTTCACCTTGTGTCCTTTCTTGCTTTAAGAGGATGGCTGTTCTTTATCAGAAGCCTGTCTTGGATATGATCAAAGAGTTTAGACGGAACTGGCACACTCTGTGTAACTCCGAGAGAACTACTGTATGTGGTGCAGACTTCATGCTTTTGGCTTTGCAACTTTCCATGGCAGAGAACAACAAACAGGTGAGTAAATTGTGTTGGTTAACTTTTTTTTTTTTAACACGGAGCTTTGGTTACTGCTCATTTTCATAAACTTAATTAATTTTTTGTAATTTGTGCTTGTATATTTTTTCTTTTTTTATTTTGTGCTTGTTTGTTATATAACATGAATAGGCTGTATTTGAAAATATATTTGCTTATCTATGTAACTGTAGATAATTGTGTTTTTGAAAGATTTGTTTCAAAATTAAGACCTTTGTTGTAGTTTGGCATAGGATGTATGTATTTGACATTTAATGAAAAACTTTAAGATAATTGTGTGCTTATGGTTGTTATGGTTAAATTTGCTTTTATTTTGGGAGATTTCTTTCCTTCTGTAAAAGAAGTTATAAAAGACATCTATAAATAATACTTATTTTAATATAGCCACAAAGTACTTTATTACTTGTTTCAGACTCTATGTTATATATAGTTTTTAGGTCAAGCTGTGAGAATCATTTGAGGACACTTAAAAAAAAATTGGCTTCTATGTTTCAGTCCTGGAAATTCTAAATTTTCTCATCTGCACTGAAACCTTGGAAAGGTTTTTTGTTTTTCAAATCTTCACAAAGTGTTTGTTACTTAACTAGCTTGATGCTAAGTAGTATTTGAAATAAACTTGCTAAGGGAATAGATAGTGTTGTTCAGATGAGAAAACAATAAGCATAGGCTGAGATAGTAAGAAAGAGGATCTTAGATTGTAGGTAGGGTACTCAAATAAAGTCAAGTCTTTGAATGGGAATAATTTGGTAGAGGGATTAAGGAAGGGGGAATGTCAATTCAGAAGAAGAGTCCAAAACCTATTGCTGTTGAAGCCATTCAGGCTCGTAGACATCCTACAGAGTCTCAAGACTGTAGATCTTAATGAAATCAGACTACCTCACTGTTCTGTGGACTGGCTGTGGGGCTTGAGCCACCAACCTTTGATTAGTAGCTGGCTGCCTTTGGTTTTTTCTAGTTTTGCCTTTTCATTCTTTATTTCAAAGTTTCCAAATCATATTGGTTTTTAATTTGATCATTCGTATACATTTTATTTTATAGTATTATAACTATAGTTTCATTTGATCATTTATACATAGTTTGTTTTATAATCTTGTGCCTTTCGAGCAGAAAATGGGACACAAAGGTACAGAGCCATGAGAATATCTCTGAAAGGGCCAGAGAATAGCAGAGAGAGTGAGAAGAGCACAGCCTCTCACTGCCCCAGAGCAGAAAGCAGATGAAGAGCCCATAGCCCAGCTGCTTGGTGCCTCTAGAGCTACACCAACAGTGAGAGGTTTGTTTATTCGTTGTTGACTCATAGGCTTTACTCACAGTTGTGTTACTGAGGAATCATGTCTATTAGGGAAGAGTGGGAGAGGCAAAGATACCACTCAATGAAAATCAGGTTTTAGTCCAGTAGTCCCAAACTAGATTAACAGCTAGATTAACACACTAGATTAATTAGTAGCAGACCTGGCTTCAGTTTAGCAGTCAAGTCCAAATCAACCAGAAAGGTGTGTCTTGGAGCACTTATAAATCAGCTTCTCCTTGTCTCATCTGGCAAGAACAAAACCTTTAACTGTGACCTTTATCTTAGGGCTCCTTTAATTACACCTTGCCACAGTTTCTCTACAGCAATGCCACAGTCTCTTCACCATCATCACTGGGATCTCAGCACCAAGGTCTCACTCACGTCAGACGTGAGTGACCCTGGTGAGTCTTGCTTTAGCCTCACTCAAGTTTTGCTGCTCAGTGTTGGAAGGCCTCTTTCTCTTATCCTAGTTCCATAGCTGTTGAATGTTTGCTAGACCACGTGTCTGCAGGTATGGTAGCTGGAGACCAGAGAATGCTAAGGTAATGGCTAAGAAGTCAACTTTAGGTTAACACTGCATCTTGTATTTACTATTTCATTTAATCATTCACACGCATTTTGTTTGGTAATGTTAATTATAATTGCTTAATTAATTAATATAATAATCAACTTCTTATTGCATCTTGCATTTGCTTTTACCTCTCTCTCCCACGTGATCCCTTTTAACTATCTAACAATGATTCTATCGGAATGTAAACCTGCCCCTAGCTCTTTAAAATAGTGTTCTTTGAACATAATTTTCATAATTGTCCTTTTGTGACCGGCTTATGTCACTCAATATAATTTGTTCTAAATTTATCCCATATTGTGCAATATTTCATGAATTCTTTGTAGTTTTTTTTTAAAAAAATGATGCATAATACTATATTATGAGTGCACCATAGTTTCTTTATCTGTTCATCCATTGATGGACATTGGGGTTCTTTCCAGCTATTTGCTATTGAAAATAATGCTGCAATAAACACAGGTCTGCATGCATCAGTTCCTGCCTCAGGATATTAGTCTATAATTTTGTTTTTCAGTGGTATATTTGCCTAGTTTTGGTATCAGGGTTATGCTTACTTCATAAAATGAAATCAGGAGTATTCAAATTTTTTTTGGATTCTAAAATTGCTCCACAAATTACTTGTCTGTCAGATACTCCTCTAAATCTAAACATCCAGATTAAGACAGACTAGAAAGAAGGATTGACCATCCACTTCTGAAATTGTAGGCCTCTGAAAACCCTCTGTACAACAGAACACACGTAGACTAACAGAAAGGTTAACTTAGGTAGAACTTTCACATATGGAAATACAAAGGAAGAGGAACAGTTGTAAGCAGACACTAGTGATTGGAACATGGAATGTGAGAACCATGAATGTAGGAAAATTAGAAATTGTTAATAAAGAAATGGAATGCATGAATATTGACATACTAGGCATTGGA